CGAACTTCCTGTCTTGTTGCAAAATCGTCTGCTATTTCGGAATCACTGTGAGCCCAAGTGCCATCAATTCGTTTAATAGAAAACCTGTGAAAGGGTTGTCATTAAAGATTTCATGTGCATTTCCATAATGCGAAACCATGATCCTGGTTGGGATCAATGGCACTGAGATGATTCACAAAAAATTTTGATTTGGCCATTCGGAGGACTTTTCTTCGCCAAGTCAAGGGTATGCCTTGTCCTCATCCAAACGCGGCGAAGTGTACGAGCTTTTCTGGCCAAGACTGCAATTTCAGGTTTCGAAGAAGCACATGTTGGTGGCGGAATAGGTACACTTCTAGCAGGAGGGGCAGCTTGTCGTATTGTCTACCAAAACCTGAGCAAAGGAATCAACGTCATCCGTAGTGACAAGCAGAGGGTTATCTTCAGTCAAAGCAGTGGGCCTGGCACTGAAACTTCTAATATCCGAGCTTCGAGGTAAAGGCCTTGTTTTGGCAATGACCTGATAGGCAGCCACAGAGAAATATATCAGGAGCGGAATATGATCAGAAGAAGGCCCGAACACTCAGAGATGGAAAGGTGGCTGCACGGAATACCTCTAAACACAGCAAAATCAACGGAAGTCGGAAGATGATCATTGATCCAGGGAAAATGCGTGGGCCCCCCTGTGTCCAGAAATTGTTTCCACGAGGGCAGGACCGTCTGCAACCCCAGAAGCTATCTTGTGCATTCCAATCACCTCCAATAATAAAGCGGCTGCCCACAGATCCGAAAAGGCGGCGAAATTCCTCAGCTGGCCACGAATGACGATGACCAGGAGAACAGTAGACAGCGCAAAACGAAATTCTTCCAAACGACGGGGCCAAATTGATAGCGATGGCTTGCAGGTGAGGCTCAGTTACTGTGGTGCTCAGGTGATAGTCCAGTGGCGATTTGATAATGACAGCAGCAACACCACGATTTCTATCATCGGGGTGATTAGCGCAGTGCACAGCATATCCATGAATTCGAAAGAAAGAGCGGCTGGTAAAATGTGCCTTGCCCATCAGGGTTCTGGCATCCGACATTGCAATAGTCGTAAGGAAAACTATAAAATTCAAAAATTAAAAAGTTAGAGGAACAGCCGGCCTGCCAATAGCGGGTTTAAGGCCGGCAAAAGCTACACACCGCAAAGTTCAAAAAGAACCAAACAAATAATGAAAAGAAACAAATTTTTATAAAAATGTTATGTAACACGGAGTCATTGAAATAAACACAACCGGTTAGTTTGACACTAAAGTCGAAACTTCAATTAGCCTTTGCGTCCTCCCCGTCAGGGCACTCCGTTACACCGTTTACATATTGCCATAAGTCATTTTTCACAAGAGTGGCACACATTTACAACTTCCATGTGTCGTAGTTATCCGGGTTTAGCGGCTCAATTCTTATGAAAGAATTCGTAATTTTTCACAGCTTATCTTTCTCGACTTTTCACTTATTTCAGATCGTTGGCGTCTGGGCCCATAACCTGTTGGGATTTTCCCAACAAATTAGAAAAACAACAAAGTGTGGTGAAAAAAAGTGGGATGCCAGAACGAACTTAACGCAAGAGTTGCCAGATTGATACTTTGTCATAAACTGAGATGAACAGTGAGTTTAAACATCGCGGAACCTGTAGGTGATGGAACAACAGTTTGTATGAGACCATTCTTATTGGAGAACGTATGATATCCCATTTCTTTTATCGGTTAAATTATTATCTCCAAATACACATATTAAGGTTGATACAAACTTTTTGAAAATATATTTATACCATCGTACAGTAAAAGGATATACTAGTTTCGTCGGAAAGTATGTAACAGGTTGAATGAAGCGTTTCCGACCCGATTAAGTATATATATTCATCATCAGGATCACTAGCCGAGTCGATCTAGCCCATCTATCCGTATGACCGCTGAGATCTCGAAAACTATAAGAGCTAGATTGGCATGCAGATTCTTGGGCTTCTTGCGCAAGTTGGTTTCAGCAGAGTGCAACGCCAATACATAACAATAGTCTAGCTCCCACGTTTTTTTAATATTCTGTAAAAATTGAAATGTTATTATTATCAATACCCATCTACATGCCATAAATTATTGAAATCGACCTAGGCATAATAATCAATATTTTGATATTCAATCAAGATTGCACACCACATTCAGCATAAAAGCCGGTACGGGCGCTATAGGCTAGGGGGCGCTTTAGAAGAAGATAGGTGGCGCTATAGGCTTGGTATGTAAGTGAAAAAAGGAGGGCTGCTTTAAGCATATCTCTATCCCTCTCGCACACCCTTAAGCTGAGTAACAACTATCTAATAGCCACCGACTATAGCCTTTTCTCTTGTTTTTTTTAATATTTTCGAATTTTAGTTCGTTTGGACTCTCGTTAAACTAAGCATAACAAAAGTTGTTCCATAGAGAGCACTATGCCGGGGAGGATTTCGAAACATTTTTTTTTGACTTATTAAACTTAAGTGTACTTAGTTATATATAATATATAATGTACTTTATATAAAGGGGGAAACGTTTTTATAATCGCTACAGTCGTGTTTTTTTGGAAACACGGTGGTGGTCTTGTCGATAAGCTTATAAATACATTGCCGTTTAAGACCACAATCCGGGATATAATTTTTGTAGACCGGGTACAAGGTCAAAAAATGCATGGAACGTGGTAATCAAGGGATAAACCCATTGCATGAAGCTTGCAAAGTACACGATGAGAGGCACTACTCTTAAAAAGTTGAATATTTTGTTGCCTATTATATTAAAAAATTCAGTTAAATGGTCGCTAACGTCAATTCTTGCTATAGCTTTTTCCATGTTTTCGCAAGCTTATCGAGTCTGTTATTCGCAAGGTTCTGTTCGTACCTCATCATTTAAAACGACCTTGTATACGTTGGGCACAGAAGCTTTATTTATTGTTTGCCTAGACAAATCTACTTGTCCAATTTGATTTATGTTATTGACTTTCAGTGCTTTATTGTAGATATTGAAGCTCTACACAATTGGTTAAGAATATCGTCTATTCTTGGTTATGAAAATTTATCTGAAACAAATTTTTTGCTAACTTGCGATAGACAAAAGACATCTTGAATATCTTATTTTGAAAACTATTTTTTCTGTTCAATTAATAATAACAGTAATAATCCGACGCTGAAGGTTCTACTATTTTACCTTTATTATTTTTTTACTTTTCTGGCGCTATAAACTAGGTGTTTTATTGAAAAAGACTTAGTTACTTTAAGCATATTTCCATCCCTCTCGCACTCCCTTAAGCTGAGTAAAAGTCGAGGCCATCGACTATAGCGTTTTCTCTTATTTTTCATTAAATTTTTACTTTTTTTCCATCACAAGGAATAGGAAAATTTGAAGCTACTACTCGTATTGGAAAATTATGCGGTATGGCATAATTGGAACTGATTGTTGCTTCACCAACACCTAATAACATTAGTTTACTGGCAAAAAATTTTATCTTTAAAACCAAATTTCTAGACTTATATATTCTTCCTGTACAAGCTGGTATCATTAAAAAAAATATTCCAAAGAATCGTTCTTGAGTTACTCACGAAAAACATGTTTTTTGGTGTTGCTTGATTAAAGAACTAATATCACAGAATCGAATTATCTAACCGTTTGGCAATTTACACAATTTAAAATTAGATAGATGTACCTTTCCGAGGACACTTTACTTATTGGGATCGGATCTATATATTAAAGATGTTACCAAAATTTAACTTTTCTAACCTGTTTTTTTAATTAGATCGTTTTCTTTTAAGTTTTACCTTAGCAAAAATAATGACCGTTAAACTGATACCACGGTAAATGCCTCGGATGTATAATACTGATTTTGCATTGTCTGTCATTTCAGTACCAAATTGTATGTTTTTTGACGGCTTCATTCATTGTTAAGTTTCCTGCAACATTTCTTGTCCATTGTGTTAATGGCTACCTAAGTTCTGAATTTATCAGCATGTTCGGCTGTTAGGCCCTCGTCAATATACGAAGCTTTAAAGAGTTTTCTTAAGTTATCGATTTCTGATGTGCCATTTTTTCAGATTTTCCTTTTTGGCTTTTGCCTTTATTTTGTCGAGTTTTTTTCCGACTATAGTGTTTTGCAATTTCTGTATTATTTAATTTAAAGTGGTTAAATTTTGGACTTTATATAGGGTAGATCCTATTATTTTGGAAATTATCACCTTAACGGCTAACTCAAGAATTATACACATTTGCATGCGCTCACCCAATTGTCAAAGCACTTTTTCCACTCAAAATGTGACACCTCCTAAACATGGTTTTTGAACGCTTCAACAGCATCTCCTGGCGATGAAAATCGGTCACCACGTATATTTCTATAGATGTCCTTGGGTGCCAAGTCAGGGCTGGACGGCCACCATTTGCTTCGAAATGCTTCTTCCACAAACAACTTTCGTTGGATTTGGCTCGTCTTCGAGGACCTACACGGTCGATTGCTCATTTGTTTCGGCCTCATAAGCATAGATTCATGATCAAGCGGGATCTAACGGGAACAAATCTTTTTTACGGCCAAGTGTTCATGCAATATCGAATGAATGCTGGTAAAAAAATTACCAAGGATGCCTCTAATTCACGCTATGTCACATGACGATCTTGCGTTATCAGTTCACGCATATCAATGTTGTCTGGCACAATGACTGTTTTTGGACGACCTTCGTCTTGAAGCGAGCGTCGGCCACGATTGAATTTATAAAACCAGTTTTAAACGGAGCTTCATCGCCACACAAAGGTTTAAGTTTATTGATAAACCCTTGTGGTAATAATCACGTCGAAAGTTGTGATAAATATTTGTACGAAAATGCTTACGAGTTGATTCCATTTTTCTGCCGAGGTAACTTTTAATTATTCACTCTTGGGCGGTGCAAAATTATTTTGTTTATTTTACCTTTACCGACGCGGAAATTCAATTTTATTAGACCTTATATCTGAAAACCGTTTGTCTCCTTTAAACAGTCGTGCGACGCGATGCTTGGCGATGAAGAGACCAAGGAGCTGGGAAGCCGAAGCTTTAATTTGGCCATATTAGACGGAGCATTCCCAGAGTGCTTTCTGGGATTAATGCACCAGTACAAGATCCCATTTATGTACATAAACACGGTGGGCTTCTACACAGGCAGTATCTCAACTGCAGGTAACCCCGGTAGCTACGCAATAACCCCGAACTTTTATTCTCGATTTACGGATACAATGAGTCTCTACGAAAGGGGAATAAACACGGCCATGCAGATTGGTCAAGAGCTGATGCACATGGTAAGTGACATTTGGGCTTATACCTAACATTTACTTACATAATTTTCTATGTTAATTGTAGTATGTTATGCGTCGAACACATCTTGTGCTGCGAAAACATTTTGGGGCCCACATACCGCATCCTTACGAGTTGTCGCGCAATGTGAGCTTCATTTTGCAGAACGGACACGCAGTCTTGTCTTATCCTAGAGCCTTTAATCCGAATGTAGCAGAGGTGGCTTGTATTCACTGTAAACCAGCCAGAAAACTGCCCAGGAACCTTGAGGACTTCATAGGTACTTCTGGTGTCTCGGGATTCATATATGTTTCTATGGGCTCTTCTGTAAAAGCTGCAAATATGCCAGAGGCGCTACGTCGCATGCTTGTGAAAACCTTTGCACGCCTGCCATACCATGTTTTGTGGAAGTATGAAGGTAGTTCCGAAGACATAAAGGAACTTACTGCAAATGTAAAGCTTTCAAGATGGCTACCGCAACAGGACATCTTAGGCCATCCCATGCTACGTGCCTTTGTAACCCACGGGGGCTTGCTAAGCATGTTTGAGACGGTATTTCATGGAGTGCCCGTCGTGACAATGCCGGTATTCTGCGATCACGATGTTAACTCAGCTAAGGCTGTGGTTGATGGTTATGCCGTAAAGCTAGATCTTCGGACGCTGTCGGCCAATCAGCTTCATAAGGCTATTATGAAAGTGATTCACGATCCTCGGTACAGAAATGCAGCGCAATATCGTCAGAAACTCTTGCTGGATCAGCGCTCAACAGCTCTGGACACAGCTGTATACTGGACGGAGTATGTGCTGCGTCACAATGGTGCTTATCATCTTCAGTCGCCTTCACGCAATATGACGTGAGTTTGTTCAGATTTTTTTAGTATAACCACATTCATAATTTTTCTCTTTTCGCAGTTGGTGGCAGTATTATTTACTCGATGTACTTGCGGTTTTTTTATTTTTATTTTACAGTATGATTTTATTACTAAAGCGCATGGATTTTCGGTCTGAAAAGTTACAGAGCCTTCATTTGCTGAGACCTGACTTGCATTCAAACGCCAAAACAAAGTCAAAGAAGCTGTAACCAGATCGCAGGATATTGGTTTTCCGTTTGATGTTTAAAGTCCAAGAGGAAGTGTTTATGATTTTTTAAATTCCAAATAAGGGTCTGCAAGAAAGTCTTTACTTCTGTTCCAAATATTGTTTGTATTATTTTGTGAATACATGTCTATAATAATAATTGTAAAAAAGAAATCGAAGTTTTAATACTCTATGCAGGTCTTACGAACTAGAACAACAAACAAATACCAATTATTAAATATTAAACGTAGTAAATATCTTTAAAAGTACATTAATCTAAAGTTTTACCCTATTCCTGCTATGGTAGGTATAGCCAATTCGGCACGTAATAAATACAAAAGAGAATGAATGAAGTTTGAAGAATGGGACTCTTTTGTCACAACACAACCTATTTTATATTAAATTAACTTTTCTTTTAAGCTGAAACTTATATGATTTTAAAAAACCGATTATATGTATGTTTGTACGTTCTTTTAAAAAATAGCTGCTCGGCTTAAAAATCAATTTATCCAGTTGTAGTTATCCGTCGACTTAAATTCTTATACCCGTTACTCGTAAAGTGAAAGGGTATACTAGATTCGTCGGAAAGTTTGTAACAGGCAGAAGGAAGCGTTTCCGATCCCATAAAGTGTACATATATTCTTGATCAGGATCACTAGCCGAGTTGATTTAGCCATGTCCCACAGTGGTCGAAATTGAATTTTTTACTTTTAACAAATTTCAAAATTAGTTTGTCAGTCGATAGCTAAATGGTTATTTAGCATAATGATAAGAACCAAATCGATAGTTGCACTTTAAGCTATCATCTGTAAGCTTTTGATCACAACATTTGTTGAAACAGCTATTGAAATACAATGTGTTCAGTTTAGGTACGTTTGCAAAATGTGCTGCAAAATTTATTAAAATATATTTTTTAACTGGTTGTTTGCTTTTTTCAATAATAAAGGTATGTATTTACATAACAATAAATGTTTTGTGACCTGTGAATATATGTTATATAAATAATTAATTAATTAAATATTACATAAATTATTTTATAGTAAACAAACAACTTTGGTATCTTCTTAAATGTGACTATTCTTTAACTTCTGTAGAGTATAAGTAGTGACGTCGGCATTTGCTGTCAAATATACTATTTTTATATGTTAATGTGGTTCGTCTTCTTTGTTAAATGACCAAGATCTGCCGCAGCCATGTGCAGCTCACAAAATGGTTTTTTTTTCAGAGACCATGTCAGTCTGCAAGCGTAGTCTTTTTTCAGTACGGCGCAGCGAAAATGATTCTAGAAAAGATGTTCAGCCCTGGAGAACTATATTTATTGAAATGATATTGAAAAATCGAAATGCACTGAGGAGGAGCATGGCTTAATAGCTGAAAGCATTCAACATTTTTGCAAAAGGCTTTCTGTAATGTGGAAAGAATGCCATAGAGTTTTAAAACGATTCAATCAGAAATACAAAGTTTGGTTAGACGAAGACTTAGTCCTTTTAAAACAAAATACTGGCACAGGTTCAGGTCGAAAGCAAAAGAATTTTGCAGATTGCAGCGCAAAACTTCAGGTAACCAAAGTTTCGGAGCTAGTGAATGGGAACACTTGCAATGAACTCATGACAGCGACACGCGTCAGTTTGTACAAAGCTGGAAAACGGAGCGCATCACAAATAGTTTCAATGGCAGAAATCAAAAAGAGACTTGAATCAGATCGAGAGGTTCCAATTAGGTACACTCCAGACGAAGCTTTGGCTCTTTATATTGATGGAGACTTGACCAAGCACTCCTATAAACTTTTGCCAGCTAGTGCAAAAGGGAGAAACTGTAACATAAACCCAGCATACGATGTTTTACTATCTGCCAAAGAAAATGTTATCCATAAAAAATCAAAATCGATGAATGTTGTGCTGAAGTTCGTCTGCAAGAAATGTTAGATCACACAGTTATACGCATAGTTGAGGCCCACCCGGATATATTCTGGCAAATATCTGATGAAAACAAATATGAAAGTTTGACTGTCTTTTACAAATGGGGATGCGATGGGAGTTCGGGACACTCAACCTACCGGCAGAGCTTTACTAATTCTGATCACAACATGGTAGATCAACATTTATTTGCTATTTGTATTGTGTCACTACAATTCCAACGGGAAAGCACCATACTCTGGAAAAATCCCCGGCCATCATCAACACGGTATTGTAGACCACTCAAAGTAATGTTTGCAAAGGAGTCTGAAACTTTAGTTCGCGCCGAAATTGAAAATATTAAATCTCAAATTCTGAAAATTGAGCCCACGCGTCTCAGCTGTTTTCAAGTTCAACACAATTTGCAGCTTACAATGATCGATGGCAAAGTATTCAGCGTGATTGCAGAGTCTTATTCGCAAGCATGCGGCATATGTAAGGCCGCGCCCAAAATGATGAATGACTTAGATCTCTTTGCGAGTTTGCCGAAATGCAAAGACTTATATGAATTGAACTGTTTTGAGTGCATGTTACATGTGGGATATCGACTTCCAATCAAAGAGTGGCAGGTCCGCGGCTTGGACAAGAACATTGTTAATCAAAGAAAAGAAGAGATCCAAGAAAGGCTTTAAATGGCTTTATTAGTGGATATCCCAATGCAGGGTTCTGGCAACACAAACAGTGGCAATACAGCTCGAAGGTTTTTCGAACAATATGAACTGTCTGCTGAAATAATTGGCGTAAATGAAAACTTAATAAGAAGACTTGGTGTGATTTTACGCAGTATGGCTTCAGGATATGCCATAAATATTGACAGCTTTCGTGAGTACGCATTACAAGCCGCAAAAATGTTTGTAAGTGAGTATCCTTGGTACTACATGCCAAACTCGGTACACAGAATATTACTTCCTATTGGAATGATGTCGGAAGAAGCCTTGGAGGCAAGAAATAATGATTTTCGGAAGTTTTCGAGGCTAAAGCACTGTCGTAAAACTTCACGCACACATACAATGAAGGATTTGATGAACTTATTACTTATATTTTCAGATCCCCTAATAACGAGTTTAAGCAAAAGTCCGTCCCGCCATTCAAATAATGATATTATTTTTGGATGAGGAGGTAAAAAAACTACTTTGTAATGCCTTTGATAAATAAGTAATACATGAATTGAACAAGTAGTTAAAATTGGAAAAATCATAAAAATTTCATTCATGCAGAAAAAATAAATTTTATTTAGACAACAAAATTATTATAAGTATAAGAAATTACGAAAATAAAAGCTTGTGACTTAAACCAACAAAATATATATGGTATAATAAAAAATAAAATTTTAATTATTATACCCGTTACTCGTAGAGTAAAAGGGTATACTAGATTCGTCGGAAAGTATGTAACAGGCAGAAGGAAGCGTTTCCGACCCCATAAAGTATATATATTCTTGATCAGGATCACTAGCCGAGTCGATCTAGCCATGTCCGTCTGTCCGTCTGTCCGTCTGTCCGTCTGACCGTCTGTCCGTCTGTCTGTCCGTCCGGATGAACGCTGAGATCTCGGAAACTATGAGAGCTAGGCTATTGAGATTTGGCGTGCAGATTCCTGAGCTTCTTACGCAGCGCAAGTTTGTTTCAGTAGACTGCCACGCCCACTCTAACGCCCACAAACCGCCCAAAACTGAAACTACTACAGTTTTGATGCTAGATAGAACATTTTAACTGAAATGTATTGTTCTCATCAATACCTATCGATTGACCTAAAAAAAAGTTTGCCACGCCCACTTAAACGCCCACAAACCGCGAAAACCTGTGACGCCCACAATTTGCATGCTAGATAAAAAATTTTAACTGAAATGTATTGGTGTCGTCAATACCTATCGATTGATCCAAAAATAATTTTGCCACGCCCACTCTAACGCCCATAACGCTTAAATCTGTCTACCGCCGGTAGGTGGCGCATTTTAATTTCGCTTTGCTGCTTGCATATCTCCATTTCCCTTTGAGTAACGGGTATCTGATAGTCGAGGTACTCTACTATAGCGTTCTTCCTTGTTTTTGTTATTAAATTTGAATGTATTTTTATTGGAATAAAAAATTATCACAAAAATTTTTAAGTTTTTTCATAATTTGACCATTGAAATAAACAATCTTCAAATTATGATAAAAAGTTGCATCTTTGACAAAATAAAAAACCTCACATAAATTTTTAAAAATATATATTTTTTTGTTTAACATTGTAGCTAAATCTATATGCACCTAAAAAATAATATTAAAAAAAAGAAAAATTTTAACGCTAAGAGGTATTAATGCTGGTAGATGAGCCTTTTCGACCACTGGCTGTCCGTCTGTCTCGGAAACTATAAGAGCTACAATACTGGAATTAGGGATGCAGATTCCTGAGATTCCTGCGCAGCGCAAGTTTGTTTCAGCAGAGTGCCACGCCCACACCCACAAACCCCCCAAAAGTGTGGCCCCTACAGTTTTTATGCCAGAATAAACATTTTAACAGAAATGTATTGTTAAAAATTTGCCACGTTCACTCTAACGCCCATAACGCTTAAACCTGTCTATATTGAGATCACGGGTAGGTACCGCTTTCAATCTCGCTTCGCTGCTTACATATCTCCATTTCCCTTTTGTCCCTTTAGCTAAGTAACGGGTACCTGATAGTCGAGGTACTCGACTATAGCGTTCTGGCTAGTTTTATCCTTGTTGTCTTGATTCCTGGCGAGCTATGAGATTTCCTTATAGAACAAAGCGTTTTGAAATGCAGCAACGATGTGTGTGGAGGCTTGTTTCAGTTCTGTGGGGGCGATGGTCATTGCGTCATGAACTGAGAATTTCCTGTTGGCTGGAACCATGTTGATTACACGAAGGACGCATACTGCTACCTTTAGAATTCGCTGATAGTATCCAACGCGAGAAAAAATTTCTAGCATGACGCTTGCAAAGTGTTGATCATTCGCTATCTTTGTTTTCTTGACTGCCGATCCATTGCTGCTGCATCCGAACGAGACTGCCTTGCGCTTCTCTAAGTAGAGATCATCAGATTCACAATCTGGAGGTCATTGTGGCCAGCATTCCGAATCCGAACTGAAAACCAAGTTGATTCCGATAAGTCAACAGCTGCACCTCCGCGCGAGACGATATCGGCTGGATTGATCTTTCCTGTTACATGACGCCAAGTGACATCGACCGATTGTGCTAAAATTATGGATACTCTATT